GCTCGTTAGTTGATGCAGCTTTCCTAGGCCTTGATGGTCTTTAGCATTTTTGCTGCTTGCAATGGCTGGTACCTGCTGTTCCTTTCCATGTTTAGTGCTTCCTTCAGGGTTCTTGTAAGGCAGGCCTAGTGGTGATGTGTCTCTAAGCATTTAAAGTTTATCTTGTAAAGGATTTTATTTCTCCTTCACTTATGAACTAGTTTGGCTGATATAAAATTCTGGGTTTAAAATTCTTTCTTTTCTTTTTTTTTTTTTTTTTTTTGATTTTTTTTTTTTTTGAGACGGAGTCTCGCTCTGTCGCCCAGGCTGGAGTGCAGTGGCGCAATCTCGGCTCACTGCAAGCTCCGCCTCCCGGGTTCACGCCATTCTCCTACCTCAGCCTCCCGAGTAGCTGGGACTACAGGCGCCCGCCACTGCGCCCGGCTAATTTTTTTCTATTTTTCAGTAGAGACGGGGTTTCACCATGGTCTCGATCTCCTGACCTTGTGATCCGCCCGCCTCGGCCTCCCAAAGTGCTGGGATTACAGGCGTGAGCCACCGCGCCCGGCCTTAAAATTCTTTTCTTTAAGAATGTTGAATATTGGCCCCCACTCTCTTCTGGCTTGAAGAGTTTCTGCCGAGAGATCTGCTGTTAGTCTGATGGGCTTCCCTTTGTGGGTAACCCGACCTTTCTCTCTGGCTGCCCTTAAGATTTTTTCCTTCATTTCAACTTTGGTGAATCTGGCAATTATGTGTCTTGGAGTTGCTCTTCTCGAGGAGTATCTTTGTGGCGTTCTCTGTATTTCCTGGATTTGAATGTTGGCCTGCCCTACTAGGTTGGGGAAGTTCTCCTGGATGATATCCTGAAGAGTGTTTTCCAACTTGGTTCCATTTTCCCCGTCACTTTCAGGCACCCCAATCAGACGTAGATTTGGTCTTTTTACATAATCCCATACTTCTTGCAGGCTTTGTTCATTTCTTTTTCTTCTTTTTTCTTTTGGTTTCTCTTCTCGCTTCATTTCATTCATTTGATCCTCAATCGCTGACATTCTTTCTTCCAGTTGATCGAGACGGTTACTGAAGCTTGTGCATTTGTCACGTATTTCTTGTGCCATGGTTTTCGTCTCTTTCATTTCGTTTGTGAGCTTCTCTGCATTAATTACTCTAGCCATCAATTCTTCCACTTTTTTTTCAAGATTTTTAGTTTCTTTGCGCTGGGTACGTAATTCCTCCTTTAGCTCTGAGAAATTTGATGGACTGAAGCCTTCTTCTCTCATCTCGTCGAAGTCATTCTCCGTCCAGCTTTGATCCGTTGCTGGCGATGAGCTGCACTCCTTTGCCGGGGGAGATGCGCTCTTATTTTTTGAATTTTCAGCTTTTCTGCCCTGCTTTTTCCCCATCTTAGTGGTTTTATCTGCCTCTGGTCTTTGATGATGGTGATGTACTGATGGGGTTTTGGTGTAGGTGTCCTTCCTGTTTGATAGCTTTCCTTCTAACAGTCAGGATCCTCAGCTGTAGGTTGTAGCTGTAGGAGATTGCTTGAGGTCCACTCCAGACCCTGTTTGCCTGGGTATCAGCAGCAGAGGCTGCAGAAGATAGAATATTTCTGAACAGCGAGTGTACCTGTCTGATTCTTGCTTTGGAATCTTCCTCTCAGGGGTGTACTCCACCCTGTGAGGTGTGGGGTGTCAGACTGCCCCTAGTGGGGGATGTCTCCCAGTTAGGCTACTCAGGGGTCAGGGACCCACTTGAGCAGGGAGTCTGTCCCTTCTCAGATCTCAACCTCCGTGTTGGGAGATCCACTGCTCTCTTCAAAGCTGTCAGACAGAGTCGTTTGCGTCTGCAGAGCTGCTGCGTTTGTTATTATTTACTGTGCCCTGTCCCCAGAGGTGGAGTCTACAGAGACAGGCAGGTTTCCTTGAGCTGCTGTGAGCTCCACCCAGTTCGAGCTTCCCAGCAGCTTTGTTTACCTACTTAAGCCTCAGCAATGGCGGGCGCCCCTCCCCCAGCCTCGCTGCTGCCTTGCCGGTAGATCACAGACTGCTGTGCTAGCAATGAGGGAGGCTCCGTGGGTGTGGGACACTCCCGGCCAGGTGTGGGATATGATCTCCTGGTGTGCCTGTCTGCTTAAAGCGCAGTATTGGGCTGGGAGTTACCCGATTTTCCAGGTGTTGTGTGTCTCAGTTCCCCTGGCTAGGAAAAGGGATTCCCTTCCCCCTTGCGCTTTCCAGGTGAGGCAATGCCTCGCCCTGCTTCAGCTCTCGCCGGTCGGGCTGCAGCAGCTGACCAGCACCGATCGTCTGGCACTCCCCAGTGAGATGAACCCAGTACCTCAGTTGAAAATGCAGAAATCGCCGGTCTTCTGTGTCGCTCGCGCTGGGAGTTGGAGACTGGAGCTGTTCCTATTCGGCCAGTCTTAACTATTTTTAAGTATACAGTTCAGTAGTGTTAGGTATATTCACACAGGTATATTTCATACTGTGTCTCTGAAATAAAAAAGACTGGAATAATTCCCTTCTATCCATGCTTTTCTCTTAATTGGGGTTTGGGGTGCTTGGACTTATCTCCATGTTACTCTTCCAATTCTTAGAGTCCCTCTCTTCCCCTAAACAACGCTGTACACACAGGAGGCTCGGTGAGTTGTGGATTTAGTATGTTGTAACTCTACCCTATACAGGATTAGATTCCGCATCGATTTTTACATCAGCGCTGCAGCCCCAAGAGATAAGAGATGCTTTGAGGGCTATCAGAGAACTCCCTGTATTCTGAACATACCTTGAGCTGAGAATGTAAAGCCCTGGGACTGTCCTTTTCTTGCTTTAAACTCTTTGGTGTGATGATAACAAGCTCAACCCACAGTCCTTAGATAACCTGTGCTTGTATTGCGTATGGAAGCCACAACTCTGCCAAAGCCGCAATTTAATAGGTACTTAGTTCTGAGTGATGACAGGTAATTATTTTGCCATCACAGGCTACGATCTATTAGAACTCCATTCTCTAACAGTTACTAGGTCCTCACTGCCTTTAAATCAGCCAGAACAAGTAACCAATCCCAGTTCCCATCCTGGAGGTCGTGTTGCCTGCAGTTGTTTCTGGTAACAAATCCCAGGTTAATTGGGATTCCGTTGCCGATGATTAGGGCCTCTTCAGTTGTTTGGAGGAGAAAGGAATCTAATACAGGAAACTGTGTGATTCTTAAGCCATTGGAAGGCTGGAGGCAGCGCCTCCAGCAAGGACTCGTGGAAGAATACTGCAGAGCTGGCTCCTGCAGGAAGCTGCCGAGTGAGGCTGGCCCTAGAAGCATGCTTTCTGGGTTGAATGCTTTAGGTTCACCTCTGCAGATCCACTCCCCACCATTTTCTTTCCTGACATCTATGGACCACAGCAGGGGACTTCTTTTCTCTGGCTTCTGGCTGGATGTGGCCAGGGGAGGCCGTGGCAAGAGGGAGGAGAGTGAGGCCTGGTCATTGATTCGCCCAGCTGTGCCCTTCTGCTGGGTCACCATGAGCTGGCTGTGTCCCTCTACCAAAGGCCACAGCTCCTATCCTGAGGCCCCTCTTAGAGCTTTAGTGATTCTGTTCCTGGACTCTGCCACCCACTCCCTCCTTTGCCGTCTAGGTTTTAAAGAAGTAACAGCTCCCCCATATTGCTAGCCTGAGTTGCAGCACCGTTTCTTCTGGGTTCCTTTAACCCTGCCCCAGCTGTCCCTTTATTAAACAGTCTTCCGTTAGCACATGGGAAAGCACCGTCTCTTTGCTGCTGGGACTGGGGCTGCTACACCTACATGGCTGTGATCCAGAGTCAGAAGCCACCACCAGAACCACTGGGTCCAGAGCTGGGCTGAGCCTACTACACACACCCCAGCAAAATAGGTCCTGCATGGTGGCTCCTCGCCCACCTGCCACAAGCCCCAGTCTAGCACGGGCACATCAGAATGGCAGGGACTGAAGCATGTACCTCAGTTTCTTCCTCTGTAATATGGGGGTGATGATTGTACTCACCTCACAAGGAAGTTTCCAGTAAAATGAGAGCCCTTAAAATTATGTTTGGTTCATCAGCAATGACTCCATAAATATTAGCAACAATACCAGTACTAAGTTTTGTCATTTTTATATTAACTTCTCGTAAACAACCCTACTTTCCTGCTCTCACACACTCCTTACACCTGCAGCCCACCTCATTTAGCCACTTTCTGCCTAACCTGTCAGAAAGGGTGGATAGCTTCCCAGTCACCTGTTGCTAGGGAAACACCATTTCAGCCCAGATGGTGAAGATTCCAGCTTGAGAGACCAGCTCGGGTCTGAAGTGTTTCTCTGACTATCTGCTGTGCTGAGACCTCTCCTTCTCGAACCCTTCTACGCCTTTGCATACGCTGTTTTCTCCACCTGCCACGTTCTCACCCCTTCTTTTGCTGCAAACTCCTATGCAACCGTCAAGGCCCCATTCTCCTCTGGAAAGCCTTCCGGATCCCCTCGGCAACAACAACCATCAATATTTATTCGCTGAGCCCGCTTCGTGCCAAGCATTGTTCTAGACACGGGTATGTAACCGTGATTGAGAGAGACCATAGCAGCTCCTGAGGAGCAGAGGTCTGGTGGGGAGGCGGGCGTCACACACCAGCTGACCGACCAGCTGAGCCAATAATGCTATGGGTTTAAGTGCCGTGAAGGAAAGCTCCAGGGCCCATGGTAAAGAATTATAGGGAGGACCTACTTCAGGAAGGGCAGTCAGGGAAGGCTTCCCAGAGGAGGAGGCATTTAAGCAGGTGTGAAGGATAGAGACTCAGCCACGTGAAAACTGGGGCAGGGGCTTCTAGGTGGAGGGAACAGGACATGTGAAGATACCAAGGCAGGGAGGCAGGTGGTCGCTGTAGCCAGGAGAGAGGTTGGGGGATGAAGACGCAGGTGTGGCTGGCAGCTTACTCATGCTGGGGCTCATGGGCTGGGCTGCACAGCCTGGATTTTATTTTAAGAGCTATTGGGCACCGTTGGTGGGTTTGAGTGAGTGGGGACAGGAAGTGACTCACTCCTCCGAGGGCTTGTGGGAGACTCAGCTCAGGGGCAGGCAGGGGGCGTGGGGAAGGCTGCAGCTCAGAGTCCAGGTAGGAGGCTCCTGTGTGGTCCCCGGAAAGGAACAGACCTGGCCCAGGGCGGGGTGTGGAGGTGGCAGGACGGCGGTGCGGGATGGAGCGTGGTGGCCAGGCTGACAGGGTGCTGGTGGTGGGTTGTGGCGGTCGACCCCAAGCTCTGGCCTAAGTAGCTGCCATTTTGGAGGTGAACAGCCTGCGGGGAAACTGGCGTGATTTAGGGAAGGCGTGGAGAGGGAGAGAAATAGAAGCATTGAGTTTAAGTGGCCTGCAGAACCCCTGGGGCCCAGGCGGCACGGCGGGCGCTGGGACTCCGGGCAGAACTTTCTGTAGGTTTGTGGCAGCTTCACTTGCACGGCATCCGCCCCCTTGGGCCCTGCTGCAGAGAGGAGGAAGCTCCTGCCGGCTGAGCGGGCCCTGGAGGAAGTGAACGGCGGGGCTCCTGCCTCCTGGCCTGGTCCCCAAAGCCCCCAGAAGAACCCGGAACCTGCTTTCATTCGGAACCCAGGGACCACACTTTGCACCCAGTAGGCCTTCGTTCTCCTTCGTGGAGAAAGCGGTTGGGTGAGTTCTGGTATCGGGGCCACTACACTTGGGTGCTGGGGGTCATGGAGGGAGGGGCCCAGACACCACCTGGGAAGGATCCCAGAGTGCAGTCCCAGCCGAGGCCACCTGGGGAAGGGAGTCGGTAAAGCGGGACCTTGAGTCCCCACGGCCCCTCCCGCTGCCTCTGCTCGGAGGCTGCTCGGAGTCCTCCCGCCCTGTTCTACGGAGGAGTTACTGTCCCTGAACTTCAGCCAACCCCTCCGTCTCCAGGTGAAGAAACTGAGGCCCTGGGGCCAGGAAGGAGCTTGCCCAGGCTGCTGATCCCTTTGGGCAGCATTGAGTCCAGGCCCTCCTTGTAAGCTTGCATCCAGGACCAGAGAGGGCAGGGGGTTTGCCCAACGTCACACAGCCCAAGTGAGGAGGAGCTGGCCTGGGACACAGGCTTCCTGATACCCAGGCCGGGTGCTTTCGTCTTCTCTGACCATGGCCCTCAGCTTGGGGATTAAGCGGCTGGGAGTCAGTTGGGTTCCCCACCACCTCCACGGTACAGGGCAGGATGGAGTCTGGCATCCCCCACCCCAGGCTGGCTGTCCGGTCGAGTGAATGCCTCCGTCTCCCACAGCTCTGGGGGCTCCCTGCTCTGGCCACCAACTTCTGCCGTGTGATCCCCCACCCCAATGTCTGATTGAGTTTGAAAACACTGAGAAGACCCAGGGGCTGAAGAGGGAGGAGGAGGGAGGCCAAAAGGCGCCAGCTGAGCTGGCGAAGCCTTTGCGGGAGAGGAAGTGAGCCAGGGGAACCGGAAGGAGGGCTGGGCTGGCCTCTGGGTCTGCCCCTGTCCCAGGCATGTGGCGAGCCCAGTCTTCTGCCCGTAATGAGGACGAGGAAGATGAACAGTGCCTCTGTCAACCCTGGCCCTTCCGGTTTATGGGATGGGAGATGTCACCATTCCACACATCCACCTCAGCCAGCCCCACACAGGCCGACCGGGGAGGTTTCCCTTGAGCTCAAGCTGACAAGCTCTGAGGAGTGAGCTGTACCTGCTTTGTCCTGACTGTCTGGGGTGCGGTGGGGGTCGCTGGGTAGAGGGCTGGGGGCTGCAAGAGCGTGGTGAGCAGCTGCTCTGCACCTGCCTGAGGAAGGACCACTTCCCCACCAAGTCTGCTTGGCTGTGTCTGCCCTCAGCTTCTGTGCCTTTTTCTACCCCGTCACCCCGCAAGGGTTGGTTCAAGGGCTCTTTCTCACAGGGCCCGTACCCCCCGCCTAGGCTGGCATGATGACGTGCCCCTGGAGCCCGGCTCCTACCCTCCTTCTCTGCCTCCAGGTCTAGAGGAAATGAGGGGCTCAGTGAATTTGGGGTTTCTCAGACCATGACGTCCTCTCCCGCCTCCTCTGTACAGGATTGGGAGGTGATGGAGCTGGAGTCCTTGTACGACCTGCTGCAGCTCCCCAAAGGGGTGGAGCCCCCAGCGGAGGAGATGCTCTCACAAGGTGTGTGCCCACGCGGGTCTGAGGGCGGAGGGTGAGGGTCTGCATGGCAAGAGCGAGCCTGGCCATGCCTGGGACATGCAGTGCCTTCCCAGCTGTCAGCTGAGTGCCCAATTCTGCTCACCCCTGCCTCCGCCTTCTGCTTTATGGTTGACCCAACTCTTCCTCCTGGAACCTTCTGCAGAGCTAGAACCTCTTCTCTCCAGGTGAGAGACGGTGTGGATTACGATGGTGAATACCAATTGCTCTTGTCCTGGGAGCCTTCTGTGTGCCTCTGCTACACCAGCACCTCTTACCTATAGCAACTCGTTTATTCCCAAGGGTGGGTGTTATTGCCTACTTTATACAGATGAGGAAACTGAGGCACAAGGGATAACGTGCCACAGCAACAGGAAACTCTTAGCAAGTGGTGGAGCTGGGTTCTGAGCCCAAGGAGGGTGGTCCCAGAACTGGGGTTCCACACGCACCACACAGCGAAGCCCACCAGGCAGCGATGCCCACAGTGATGCCCACCAGGCAACGATGCCCACCCCACAGCGATGCCCACCCCACAGCGATGCCCACCACACATCGATGCCCACCACACAGCGATGCCCACCAGGCAGCGATGCTTTGCAGAGTGTGGGGCTCCTGATGTGCTCCCCTCACACGTGTGGGTCTCTTTCAAAAGTGGGGTGAGCATAGGATGGAGCAATTCAACAAGTGTGGGTCACCCTTTCAGCAAAGCTCTGTGTCATGAGCTCTTTGGGGGGTTGGCCACAGTCCCTGAAACCTCCTTTCTAGGAGATGGCTCAAAAGAAGGACAGGTGCAGGTGCCCAGAGCTGTCACCCTCCCTGTGTTCTCTGAAAGAAACAAACGAACAACAGCGCAGCAGGAAGCAACCAGATGGCCCAGGGGGAAGGGCTTTAGGTGAACTCATTGGAATTCATGTAACCACAAAAACATAAATGTGCTGACAAAGAAAATGTGTGAAATAATTTAAGGGAAGGGAACAGAATGCAGCTTTCTCCAGCTCCTGTGAATACCGCCTTTTAATTTTTATTTATTTATTTTTTTCTTGAGACAGAAATCTCGTTGTGTTGCCCAGGTTGGAGTGCAGTGCCACGATCTCGGCTCACTGCAGCCTCCACCTCCCAGGTTCAAGAGATTCTCCTGCCTCAGCCTCCCAAGTAGCTGGGATTATAGGCACCTGCCACCACACCTGGCTAATTTTTGTATTTTTAGTAGTGATGGGGTTTCACCATGTTGGCCAGCCTGGCCTCAAACTCCTGACCTCAAGTGATCCACCCGCTTCGACCTCTCAAGAGTGCTGGGATTACAGGCATGAGCCGCCGCGCCCGGCCTGAATGCCACCTTTTAAGTAGGTGTTATGGAGCGAGAACTCCAGGGCCAATAGGGTCCCTGGTGCGGCAGGTGAGACCCCAGAGGGGACAAGCTTGGTCCAGAGTCACCTGGCTGGCTTCTTCACTGTCTGGTATTGTGTGTTTAAACCATTGAAGATTAGAAAGTGTCCTGAGGAGACTGGGCGCGGTGGCTCAAGCCTGTAATCCCAGCACTTTGGGAGGCCGAGATGGGTGGATCATGAGGTCAGAGGATCAAGACCATCCTGGCTAACATGGTGAAACCCCGTCCTACTAAAAAATACAAAAAACTTGGCGGGCGCCTGTAGTCTCAGCTACTCGGGAGGCTGAAGCAGGAGAATGGCGTGAACCCGGGAGGCGGAGCTTGCAGTGAGCTGAGATCCGGCCACTGCACTCCAGCCTGGGTGACAGAGCGAGACTCCATCTCAAAAAAAAAAAAAAAAAAAAAAAAAGCATCCTGAGGAAAGTTGCTGAGTTAGGATAGTAGGACTTAGTTACTATTAAAAAAAAAAATGAATTTTTTGTTTTACAATTGATTTAAGATACTTAAAGTTCTGTCAAGCAGAGCTGGGATATTAGACAATTCAAGTGGCAGGAAGTCTGCTCCAGGAAGGGACAGCACCATATTCATTCATTCGTTCGTTCATTCATTCATTCATTCATTCATTCATTCACTCACCTGCTCACTCGCCCAAGCATTTGCTGAGAGCCTGCCCTGTGCTGGGCACATCAACCCATGAGGCTGTTGCCTTCCCATTCGTCAGAAGACACGGGGCTGGGTAGTACTTGGAGATCTTCCGAATGTCTAGGAAAAGCCTTTATTGGAGTCACATGAGAGACAATGCATTTTGTGAATTTAGGCAAGACAGTCCCCACTGCTGACTCAGTTTCCCCCCATGTACGTTGGAACTAGTTGGTCTCAGAGGTCCTTCTCGGCCCTGACATTTTGTGGGTTCTGTGAGTCTAAAATGTGGGCAGATGCTGGCCATGGCCTTGGGGAAGGGGAGCTGCTGGGCCTCTAAGGGCTGCCCCAGGGAGTCTGACTACGAGAGGGGCCGTGGAGGGGCCTGGCAGACCTGGGGTAAGTCCCACCTTTGCCCCTTGGAGCCTGGTGAGCCTGGGCACCTCCTCCCCTCTCTGGCTGGGGTTTCACTTGACCTAAATAGGTAGGGTTGCCAGATAAAATATAGTATGCCCAGTTAACTTTGAATGTCAAGTAATCAAGAAATAACTTCCGAGTTTATGTCTCAAAGTATAAATGCCGCAGTGTCTGAGGATCAGCTGGTGTTTGTGAGGGAAATGAGGGAAAGCACGCTGGGGCGGAAGTGGCAAGGCCAGTGCCCCTGGGGCTGTGGTGCCAGACTCTGTGGGTGACCTGCAGGGAGCGTGGCCAAGCACCCCACAGGGTCCCCATGCGCTTGTCATACCCACTCTGCTTCCAGGAGGAAAGAAGAGATACCTGCCACCTACTTCCCGGAAGGACCCTAAATTTGAAGAACTGCAGAAGGTACAGCAGCGTCCACAGCCCTGACTTCCCTGGGTGCCTCTTCTTGGCAGACCAGGCAATGGCCTCCACGGGGCGGGGACAGCAGGCCGCCCCCATTCCTTGACCTCAGGCTGGGGTGTGGCAACCCCCGAAGACCCCTGGGAGGCCTGTTGAATGGAGCAAGTCACCCACAGAGCCTGCATGAACAAACATCTATTGAGCACCAACTGTGTGCCTTCACAGACACCATCCCAGCAACCTCATGGGATTTGAGGGGAATCTATTGTCCCCTATATCCTGGGGACAGGACAGACAACGAGGCTTAGACAGGTGACCTGATCTGTCAGGGGCATGCAGCTGCCCATTACGGAGCTGTGGTTTGACACGAGCTGCCAGACCCTAAGCCGGTGTTCCTCCCCAGCTTGGCTGCCCAAGGTGTAGGAGAACCGGTGAGGTGGTGGTGGTGGGCCTGGGTCACCCGTGCTCAGTTCTCTCCTTGGTCATGGGTCTGCTGCTATGGCCACTGGACCAGCTGGGCACAGGTGGGCTCCAGGCCTCTGTTTCCCTCAGCCTCTATGTCTTCAGTCTCCACATGGCCTCTCTGTTGCCTCCTCCGGGGAAGCCTCCTGGCCTACACCATCTTCCATATCCAGAGGCTTTCTGGGCCATTTTCCATCATCCTTCCTATTCCCTCCATCCATCCACCTTTCCCAACTTTGGCCAGCACACCTGGCCCAGCCCTGTGCCTGGCACTGGGGACACCATCCGTGGTCTTGCCTAGAAGACCTGGAGGGGTGCTGACACGTCATCCCAGCTCAGGCTGGGATGGAGCACCTTTAACATCCATATTTCTGCAGGCCAGGCGCGGTGGTTCACGCCTGTAATCCCAGCACTTTGGGAGGCCGAGGCAGTTGGATCACGAGATCAGGAGATCGAGACCATCCTGGCTAACACGGTGAAGTCCCATCTCTACCAAAAATACAAAATATTAGCCAGGTGTGGTGGTGGGCACCTGTAGTCCCAGCTACTCGGGAGGCTGAGGCAGGAGAATGACTGAACCCGGGAGGCAGAGCTTGCAGTGAGCCAAGACCATGCCACTGCACTCCAGCCTGGGTGACAGAGCGAGACACTGTCTCAAAAAAAAAAAAAAAAAAAAAATCCATGTTTCTACTGACCATCTCTTCAGGGCAATCTAGGCTTTTTCTATCAAGTGTTCATTGTCCAATTCTTTCCATTCCCCAAGCCATTTCCCCATTTTTAGGTATTTGCTATGGTAGTACCCCACTTCCTGGTACTAAAACCTCACACGTGATAATGACAGCCCCACGCTGCTCAGGTTTGTGATGAAGAGAAGCAGGGAGTCTGCAGGAACTCAGAGCAGGCCCCTAACTCAGCCTGGGAGATCAAGGAGGGCTTCCCAGGGGAGGTGACATTTGACTAGGTCTTGAAAGATGGGTAGGAGTTGGCAGGCGAGAGGCAGGCATTCCAAGCCAAGTGTAGGGCCAGGTGAGAAGCTCCCATCCCCCAAAAAGTTGTCCCCTTGGGGCCTGCAGGTGCTGATGGAGTGGATCAACACCACTCTCCTCCCCGAGCACATTGTGGTCCGCAGCCTGGAGGAGGACATGTTCGACGGGCTCATCCTGCACCACCTATTCCGTAAGTGGCTGTTTCTGGGGCTGCCTGGGCCTTGGCCCCATCCTCCTGACCTGGCCCCTCCAGGCCCTACAGCTGGGCTCTCTCCCTCTGTCCCCGCAATGACCCCGGGTTTAGGCACACCTGTCTCACTTTCTAGGTGGGCCTGGGCTGGGGAGATGGAGGTGCTGTCCATGGCGCATGAGTGAGGGGGCCGAGCTGGGGCTCAGGCTAGGGCTCTGACACCTGGGTTGGTGACCTTTCCACCACACCACACTGCCTTTCCAACACTTATTGAGTGTCTGCTGTTTTGAGGTGCTGGGAGGTAAAAGAACCCATGGTCCCTGCCCTCGGGCTGTCCCAGGCTGCTGGAGAGAAAACGGGCAGTCCTGGGTGGCTGGGGACAGGGCAGGGCTCCTGCCTCCATGTTCCTCCTCAGTCTGGAAAGCTCCAAGGGGCTTTGCTGGGGGTGTGCATTCTCAGGGCCTCCTCCTGGCCCCGGGCAAGTGTCCCCACAAGCCCCAGAGTTACCCTCTCACTTTGCCCTTGTGTGGTCATGTCTGGTCTACGCATCTCTTCTGCACACCACTGTGGTCTTGGAGGCCATGGATAGGCCCGATTCCATGTCCTCAGCACTTCGCCTGGGGCCAGCCTCCGCAGTGTTCGCCGAGCTCTTTGGAGATGGGCTGCACAATGCCACTCATGTGGCTAGCACTTCCCGGCATGTCCCACGTAGCAGGCGCAGTTCATCGTCAGAACAGCCCTGTGCTGTTACTATCCCCATTTAACAGATGACGAAAGGGAGCCTCTGAAACGCTCATAATTTGTCCAAGGTCTCACAGTTAGAGAAGCAGGGGGTTCAGGATAGAAGCCTAGGAGTGTAGGCTTTAACCACAAGGCCACACTGCCCTGCAGAGATGAAGTAGACACAGCTGTGCAGAACAGCAAGGGCTGCAGGCACAGGCTGATCAAGGTGAGGTGGGCTGTCTCGACCAGCTCAGGGGGCTGAGACTTGCTCACATCATGTGGCCTGCATGCCCCACCAATTCCTGGGGGCTGGCGGGCATACCTGGTTGAGGCTGTAGGTGTGGCCCAGGGTCCAACACCAAGAATGAGCTCTCCAGACCCATGTTCTCTGAAGCACCAGGCAGGCTCAGCCTCTTGGAGGGTCCCCAGGTGCTCTCTGAGCTGCCCCCAGCCAGGGGCCCTCACCACCCTCTCCTGCCTCCAGAGAGGCTGGCGGCACTCAAGCTGGAAGCAGAGGACATCGCCCTGACAGCCGCAAGCCAGAAGCACAAGCTCACAGTGGTGCTGGAGGCCGTGAACCGGAGTCTGCAGCTGGAGGAGCGGCAAGCCAAGTGGAGCGTGGAGAGTATGTGGGCTGCAACCTGGCCACCCCGGGGGAGTGTGGGGCCGCTGGGGTCCTTCTGCTCCAGGCTTCTCACCCACCAGGAAGGCGTGCTCATCCTCCTCCCAGCAGGGGTACAACCTGGGAGTCAGGAAGGAGGTAGAAGCCTCGGGCAGCCACAGTCAGGCATCTGGCAGAGCAGCCAACAGCCCAGCACGTGTCTGTGCCCCGGAGGGTGTTGCTGCAGCAAAGTGCAGCCCAAGGATGGCAAACGGTCTCGTGGAGAATGACAGTCACTGCTGAGTTCCAAGCACCGTGGTCTGCCCATCCTCACTCTCATTTCGTTAAAGTATTGGAATATCTGCAGGCCCTGCTTGTACAAAAAACGAGTGTGCCTGGCTGGGCACAGTGGCTAACGCCTGTAATCCCAGCACTTTGGGAGGCCGAGGTGGGCGGATCACCTTAGGTCTCAGGAGTTCGAGATCAGCCTGGTCAACATGATGAAACCCCATCTCTACTAAAAATACAAAAATTAGCTGGGTGTGGTGGCAGGTGCCTGCAATCCCAGCTACTCAGGAGGCTGAGGCAGGAGAATTGCTTGAACCTGGGAGGCGGAGGTTGCAGTGAGCTGAGATAGCACCATTGCACTCCAGCCTGGGCTATAAGAGGAAGACTCCGTATCAAAAAAACACCAAAAAACAAAAGAGTGTGCCAAGCACCTAAAATTCCCTACCCCACCTGGTTCACAGTTTGGTATAGATTTCTTCCCCTTCAATTCTCTCTATCCCCTCAACCCCCATCCCAGGTGAGGAAACTGAGGCTGAAAGAAGTTAAGCAGCTTCTCCAAGGTTGGGCGGTGAGGGTTTAACAGAGTCAGTTTTCAAACCCAGGTTTTGTTGGGTCACGTGCGCCTGCATTCGCAACCTGTGAGGTCTCAATCAGTAACTGATGTTGATGAAATCAACCTTGAATTAAGTCACATTGAGCTGAAACCTAATGATCGTTCAGCCAGTGCCTTCCCAGAGGTCACTTGGTTGTTTCCAATTGTAAACGGTGCTGCAGTGAACATCTTTGTGTCTAGAGCTCCTTCCACAAGGCAGATCATACTCCTGGGCTATATTCTAAGAAGAGGGATGACGGGGTGAAGTGTGATGATTTTTAGGTTCTGAACATGTATCTCCAGATCTCTGCTCTGCAGAAGGCTGGACACACCTCCTTCATCTGCAGATGGTTGTTCTGACAATGAGGAAGGCTGCATTTGGCTGCACGTTTTGGCGGCCCCCTGGGCTCTGACCTATCTCCACTCTCTTCCCAGCCATCTTCAACAAGGACCTGCTGTCCACCCTGCACCTCCTTGTGGCCCTGGCCAAGCGCTTCCAGCCCAACCTGTCCCTCCCAACCAACGTCCAGGTGGAGGTCATCACCATTGAGGTAGCAGCTGGGCCCCCAGGGATTTGTAAGCAGAAGTTGAACGTTTTGGGTCGCCATTGCCTACCCTGCGTGGGTGGAGTTGGCTGGGGCGGGGCTCACCCAGGGTGAGTTTCAGGGAACCCTGAGAAATAGAATCCGGCCAGGACGGCCAGGGGGTGCTGTCTGGAGCTGGGGACAGGCTGGTAAGAGTCCAGTGGGGCTGGCAGAGGCCTGGGGACATGAGGAAGTCCATGGCCGACCAGCTCCACTTGACCTCAGCAGAGGGCATCTGGTTGGCAGAGGCTAAGGCCAGGGGTTGTCAGGCCATATCCCTGAGCCATGTGTGGCCGTCTGTTCATAGCCACAGGGAGCCTTCACACCCCTGAGGCAAAACTACTACTCTCACCATGAGGGTGCTGTCTCTTGTTAGACCACTGATGAATGTGACAGTGCCCCGTTCTCTTTCAGGAAGCCTTCCCAGGTTTCCCCACCCTCAGATGTTCTGTCTAGCGTGTGGCTTGCCTGTGCTGCAGTTAATACCCAGGAATCCACGCTTCCCTCTCCAGATAGACTCTGAGAATCATAATAGGGGGCCCCACCTGCTCTTTGCTTCCCATGACTCCCCTGCCCCACCCCAGCCTTGGGTTCCTCATGCAGAGGGGCTTCGTGTCTGAGGGCTTACCTCTGACTTGCCCCAAGAGAATAAGCCAAGTTTGGCTAAACCTAGTCAGAGTCATTTCTACTTTTTTTTTTTTTTGAGATGACGTCTTGCTCTATTGCTTAGGCTGGAGTGCAGTGGCACAATCTCGGGTCACTGCAACCTCCACCTCCCTGGCTCAAGTGATCCTCCCACCTCAGCCTCCCAAGTAGCTGGGACTACAGGTGTGAGACACTGTGCCTGGCTAATTTTTTTTTTTTTTGTAGAGATGGGGTTTCACCCTTTTACCCAGGCTGGTCTCGAACTCCTGAGCTCAAGCCATCCACCTGTCTTCATCTCCTAAAGTGCTGGGGTTACAGGCATGAGCCACCACACCTGGCCTTCTACTGTTTTTAAAAACCATTGATTATAATTCCCTACCAAGCAGTTGTGTGGCTTGGTCTATACTGCCAACATAAATCAGAGGTGACTTTATTGATTCATTCCTTCACCATTCATTTGTTCATAGCCACATGCTCTGATACGGCCCTCCTCCCGCCGTGAGACTCTGGGGATGCCTCGGGGAGTGAGGCAGACACATCCCCAACCTCAAGACTCCTGGGGAAGAAAGACAATTAAGCCAGGAGGCTGTCCTGAGGAGAGATGATGCAGAGCAAACGGGACACTGGGGCTGCTTTGGGCCCCAGCGTTTTCCAGATTATTTAATTTCCTTCCCCTTTATTTTTCTTAGAGCACCAAGAGTGGTCTGAAGTCAGAGAAGTCGGTGGAACAGCTCACTGAATACAGGTGAGGGAGGATGAGGGCCCATGGATGGGGCTGGGGCTCACAGCAGTGGACGGGGGCAGGGCGGGGCCCGGGCAGATCTGCCCAACCTTTGTGGGAAGGGCCCTCACACTCTGTGGCTTTTTCTCTACCTGTGTTCCACGGTAGCACACAGGACCCCTTTCATTCCAGCCTCCAATCAGGTCCCTGCCTGGCCTCTCCCAGCCACCCTGCTTTGTTCTCTAGGGTGGGGGGCCCTGGGTTTGGGGCACAGGGGCCAGTGAATCTGTCTCTCTAGTGTGAGCAGGATGTTCCTCTTTCCCTGCAAAGCTGTAAGAGTCTTAGAGGCCCCTGAATGGCCAGGGGCTGGCCGTCTTACTCCCCACCCGCTGGGGGGTGTGGCCATCCTGCTCCCTGCCCACTGGGGCATGGCCACCTGCTCCCCACCTACTGGGACATGGCCATCTTGTTCACTATCCACTGGGGCTGGCCATCCCGCTCCCTGCCCCCTGGGGCTGGCCATACTGCTCCCTGCCCCCTGGGGCTGGCCATCCTGCTCCCTGTCCACCAAGGGTGTGGCCATCCTGTTCCCTGTCCACCAGGGGTGTGGCCATCCTGTTCCCTGTCCACCAGGGGTGTGGCCATCCTGCTCCCTGCCCCCTGGGGCTGGCCATCCTCTTCCCCGTGGAGCAGAACAGGTGGGGCCTGGAGAGGGCTGGGCCCTAGGGGCTGCACAGCTGCCAGCAGGTCCACCTTTGCTGGCTTCCATGTGACGCTGACTCACGATCTCTCCCAGGGATGCAGCCAAGTTGCTGGCCAGGGGGGGCTGCCATCCTCTGAAGGCTTGGCTGCTGCTGGAGCTGTGTGGACAGCACACGGCGTCTGTCCCTCCTGGCAGCCTTGGCCTCTGCGCTGAGCCCAGGTCTCTGTCCCAGGCTGCTGGGCTCTGCCCCGAGGGGCCCAGCTCTCTTCTGGAGGGCTGTGGTTAGAGAGACTTGGCCTGCCCTGGACCTACAGAACTTCTCTTCTATGGGGTAGGGGTGGATCTAAAAACCTGACCAAAAAAAAAAAAAAAAAAAACAAAGAAAAATTGTTCAAAAACAATAAAAATGGGGTGAAAGAAGCCAGACCCAAAAGAGAACACATGGTATGGTTTCATTTTCACGAACTTCCAGGACAGGCAAAACCAATAGATGGCAAGAGAAATCGCAGCTGTGGTCAGTGTAGGGAGGGAGGGGATGGAAGGGAGAACACGGTGGGGGGGCGGGGGGTGCTGGGAGGGTCTGCAGCATGTAAGTGGGGATGATCACACAAGTGTGTATGTGTGAAACGCACAAGCTGTAATCTTACGACTTGTGCACTTAAAAATATGTGTGATGTGTCTCCCTCAGAACAAAACAGGAACCACAAAACCAGCAAAATCCTAATGTTGCTAGGTGTGGATGCCTCAGGGAAGGGCACGAACCTGTTTCTGTCCTTTGCTTCCCACAGAGACCTTCTCTGCTATCTGCCCTACCTACAAAGCTGCCGGGAAAACCACAGCATGCCGGTTTCTTTGCAAGCTTGCCAGCACTGATGCTTGTCATATTGAGACATTGTAGGTTTGCAGGGTTTTTTTTAACCATTTGTTTGCTTTTTCCACCCCCTGCACAGCACAGACAAGGACCAGCCTCCGAGTGAGTACCTTCTTCATTTTTGAAAATCTGTTCCTATCTGATGCCTGTTAATGCAGACGAGTCTTGATGGAGGGTTAATTGCTGAGCATTCTCTCATTTGCCCGTCGCCTGCTGTTTGTATCTCAAGCCTCATTCTTATTCATTTGTCCCTCTTTCTGTCTGTCCATCACGGAGCTGGCTGCTCTTTCTCATTATACCATTCCTGTGGGGAGAGAGATTTATAATTCACATAGGCGGTGATGGTGGAGTCTGTTAAATGTGTGGGCTCTGGAGTCAGTGGTCTGTGCTCAAACACCAGTTTTCCCACTCATTAGCCACTTAAGTTTGGGCAAGTACCTTAACTTGTCCATGCCTCAGTTTCCTCATCTATAAAAGGGCACTCACCGTTTAAACTGGCAGTGAGGGTTAAAGGAGATAATTTGTGAGTGTGTTCAGCATGTGGGCAGTGCTCAATAGTAAGTGGGCAATAATGTGGCATCTACTCTTCTGACGGAGCTGTTCACCAATCAGTGGATTGATCTAGTTGCTACTTCTTTCATGCATCCATTCCTTTGTCAGTGGTCCGGCCAGCTCTTCACCCACTCATCCATTCATCCATTTATCCATCTAAGGATCCATCCTTTCTTCTATTCATCTATATACTCACCCACCTATCCACCTACTCACCTATCCATCCATCCATTCATCCATCAGCCCATTCTTCCATTCATCTATCCACTTACCCACCCATCCATTTATCCATCCCTCCATCCATCCATTCATGCTTCCATTCATCCATCCATCTACCCATCCATCATCTATCCACCCATGCACCTATCCATCCATCCACCCACCCACCCACCCACCCACCCATGCACCTATCCATCCATCCATCCATTCATCTATCCACTTATCCACCTATTCATCCATCCATTCATCTATGTACCCATCCAACCACCTATCTATTCACCCATATCCATCCATCCTAACACTATTTTTCCTCCCTGTACCCTCCCCACTTAGACACATAGCTATGTGGGCAGGGATGCTATGAGGGGCACTTCACCTGCAGAGGTAGAGATAATAACCTGCCAGGAGCTTCTGAGATTGGGGGCTGAGGGAGACTGAGTTTGGGGAGAAAGGAGAAGGGAGGGGCAAGGAGGGCTGGCTGGGGATCTGTGTATGTAGCAGGAGGGGCAGCCTGAGGACGTGAGGGGTTGCCCAGGGAGCAGTATTTTGGGCATGGGGCAGCACGAGAAGTGGGTGTCACAGGGTGAAGAAACCCAATTTCCCTGACCACTGATGTTTCCACCATGTTTATTGATTTCAGAGGGCATTTTAACGTGCATGATGCTATTTGGTGCCACTTTCCCCCCTTCACTAACAAGGGAACTGAAACAGAGAGGGGTGCTGTGACTTGCTTAGAGTCACACAGCTGCTGAGTGGCAGAAGCCACAGCAAACTCAGGCCAGTCTGTGTATTTGGTGCCCAAGGACCAGTGTCCCCATGGGAGGTGTGTTAGCTGCAAATAGCAGGAATCCAGCTTGTGCACAAAGGGCATTAGCCTGAGGACATGAGGCGCCCGAGACTGGACCCCAGGGCCTGAGCCGCTGTTCCCAGACCCCAAGGGAGCGAATGAGTTGCTGCAAGAGCTGGCCTTTTGCAGGCAGCGGGTTCAGACACTCTTGGGGGCGGGGGGAGGCAGCAGGGAGGAGCCCTCACTCAGCCAATTTAAAACCAAGGGGAGGAGACTCATGGACCCTGATCACCCACCTGTAGCAGCTCCCGTGGCCCTGGGGAGTGGAGCAGGGCCCTGGGAGGAGGGAGGGCCAGCTGGTAGATAAAGGGCTGCAGCTGTGCCGACGCAGTAACAGGTGTCGGCTGCAGGAAGAGCAGCTGTTTATGAAGTCCTACTGTGTGCCCGGTCACTATGCCGCGGGGCCAGGTGTGTTATCTGCTATCGAATTCCCTCTCTGCAACAACCCCAGCTAGGGAGGCACAGAGAGAGAAGGTGACTCCCCCTGGGCCACACGGCCAGGAGAGCAGTGACTCAAATCCAGGTTTATTTTATTTGAGAACCATGATCTAAAACGACAGCTCCCTCTGGACTGGTTATTCTAAGAAACTTTTGTGAAAAAAAATTCCCTGTTTGGCACAAAGATAATAGCATCGTAATGAGGTGTTTATTGGATCTGTGTCTGCAGAGGACGTCTTTGATGAATTATTTAAGCTGGCTCCGGAGAAAGTGAACGCAGTGAAAGAGGTAGGAGAGATCAAAGCTCTCAGCAGCTCTCGGGCCGCCCACCCCACCCACCGCCCACCTGCGCTGTAGGAGGGAATCACGGGTCCTTGCATCACACCTGCTGCGTGCTAGGCCCGTGTTCTTCCCTGGTTAGGCCATCGTGAACTTTGTCAACCAGAAGCTGGACCGCCTGGGCCTGTCTGTGCAGAACCTGGACACCCAGGTAGGGACTGAGCTGCGGCGTCCCCAGGCAGGGCAGGGCCACTGGCTGTAGGAAGGACAGAGGGTTCTGAAGGCCTTGGGAACCTGCTGTGTGGTGGGGGTCGTGTCACCTCTTGGAGGCTTAAGGTCTCCCTCCCCAGTGGGACTGTTGCTGGCAGGCAGCACTGGCCACCAGGGACACGGTGGGATCCCGGGGTTGGGGGTGTGGGAACACTTCACAAAGCTGGAGTCACCTCGGCCGTCACTGCTTCTCATTGTTATAATTTTATTTTATAATTAATCTTAGACTAGCTGATGCCAAGACTTGAAGCACATGAGTCTTCCCTGCGTGGTTGTGTTCGCCCAAACAGAATTTATTAGATTTGCGCCATGTGCCAGGCGTAGGTGACAGCACAGCCCCGCCGTCTGCAGGCTCCGTGTCTCTCACAGGCACCCTGAGGAGCCCAGCCCCCCCAGCTGACTGAAGCCAAATTTTCCCAGGAGCAGGAGCGGAATCTCCGGGGGTCAGCACCCACCGCGGGCTGTGGCTTTCCACAGTGAAGCTGTGTCCCCGTAGGCTTCCCACACTGCAGGGGGGAGCAGGGGGTGCAGAGGAGCAGAGCAGCTGCCAACCCCAGGGCCTGCAGAGTGGGCATGGAGTCTGCTGGATGCCAGTGGCCTCAATGGGACATGACGTAGGCATCTGGCCACCTGGGTTGTGCTGGGGTCTGGGGTGGGGAGGGAGTCTGGTCCCAGATGGACCAGTTGGCTCATGAAGCTGGTAGCCAGAGCTGCTGACCTCTCAGAGAGACTGTGGATGGGCATTGGCTGGGGAGGGAGGGGTTAATGTACTCCCATGCCTAGTCCCTAAAACCAATAAAGCCCTCACTATGTGCCAGTCCGCAGGCAAAATGCTTTCCATGTTAGCTCATTGAATCCTCCCCATAATCCTCTAAAGTGGGAACGATACTACCCCACTTACAGAGGAGGATGTTAAGGCACAGAGAGGTTAATTAACTTGTCTAAGGTCACACAGTGATAAGTAGTGGACCTGGGATTTGAACCCAGGCAGCTGGGGCCAGAGTTTGTGCTTATAACCACCTCATACAGTGGCCACGTGAGAAGTGTGTGTGTGATATGGTGTGGCAGCATGGCAGGGTGGAAGTACCAGGCTCTGCAGCCAGACACACATTTCCCTCCTGCCTTCACCACTTATGGGCCCTGGGCTCTGTGGAGACCCCTCCACATTTGCTGTGTGACCTTGGGTGAGTTACTGGACTTCTCTGAACCTCAGGCTCTTCTTATAAAGTGGGTACAAGACAGCAACTTGGTAGAGTTGTGAGTGATACGTGAGCTGGTGAGCCCCACATGTTTGATATATTACCTGGCATGCTGCCGGTATGAAATAAATGAGAGATTTGTAGTTTTATTATATTTCATGTGGGTATAAACAGGATGATTATGATTTCTGAGATTTACATTCTACCTGTTCCATCTTTATCTCTCCCTTGGTAAAATAATGGGTTTTAGAGACTCATGGCATGTGCAAAGGTGGTATTTAGAGACTGTTCAATAAAACGGGGTAAGGAAGTCCCTTGCATTCCAGTTGTATTACCAAGGAATAGCGGCAGAAAAGATTTCAGGCCCAAACTAATAACATCGAAACAGGCTTAATATGAGGAAATTCCATTAAGGGCTTCAAATGGCAGTTTCTTCCAATATCCCATCCTGTGTTTTGTATCTTTGAAGAGACTCAATACGATTATATTAACATATGATATGCTGGTGGCAGGGACGACAGCTTTATCTCTGAACATACAGACAGAACAGGCAGAAATATTAATGTGGCAGCCGGCGAGATGAGCCCGGTGTGCTGCTCTTTGCCTTTTCTGATGGAATAATTTTACACTTGACTCTATTTTCCCGTGTGTTTCTGTAGCTTGTGAAACAGTGTGCTGTTTAAAAACTGACATGAGCTGTTCTGCAGTAAGTTTAGAAAGCACTCTTTTCACTGAGTAGGTACTGTGTACCAGGCAGCCTGAAACCGCTTTTTACCTGCAACCCTGTGAGGTCAGGAATGTCTTCCCCACTTCTCACCAAGGAACCAGAGGCTCAGAGAACTTGTACGACTTCCTTAGGGCCACACAGCCTGTAAAAGACAAGAGTGGGCTTCCCCAGACTTCTTCCATATGACAGTCTTCAGTTCCTACCTTTGTAGTTTGCAGACGGGGTCATCTTACTCCTGCTGATTGGACAACTTGAAGGCTTCTTCCTGCACTTAAAGGAATTCTACCTCACTCCCAGCTCTCCTGCGGAAATGGTAAGTTTTCCAAAGATTTTTCTTGATGGTCTACCTCTGGGTGAACAGATATACAGAATTGACATGACCAGTCTGTTTATTCACTTCCAGGTGAAGTGAAGGGTGTAGAGGAAGTTTGTTTGTCTCTCTGTCTGCCTATCCATCCATCCATTCATCCATCCATTTATCCATCCATCAATCCATTCATCCATCCATCAATCCATCTATCCATCCATCCATCCATCCATCCATCCATCCATCCATCCATTCTCCCATCCATCCATCCATCCATCCATTCATCCATCCACCACCCACGCACCTACCCCTCTATCCACCCACCCACCCAACCACCCACCCAACCAACCAACCATCCATCCATTCATCCACCTACCCACCCACCCACCCACCCATCTATCCACCCATCTATCCATCCATCCATTCACCCACCCACCCACTCATCCATCCATCCACCCACCCACCCACCCATCCATCTCTCTATCCATCCATCCATCATCTACCTATCTATCTATCCCCATCTACCTATTATCCACCTACCAGTCCACCTATTAGCCCTTCTGTTCACCTACTGAGCCACCCACCATCTATGCACACATCCATTTAAATGCCCACCTATCCATTCACCCACCTGCCTGTCCATGCACCTATCTTCCTGTTTATTCATCTACCTAGTCCATCCATCCATCCGTCCACCCACCTGCCTGCCTGTCTACCCACCCATAGGAAGTTTATCTATATGTCTGTCTGACCATCCATACATTCATCCATCCACTTGCCTACCTGTCCATTTGCCTGCTTGTCCTTTCATGCATCCATCTGTCTGTCCTTCAGTCCATCTTCCTGTTCTGTTTATTGGTCCACCCAATCTACCCGTACACCTGCCTGCCCATCCACCCACCTACCTGCTCACGCACCCATCCCCTACCCACATGTCTGTTCCCTCATTCCCTGAGGGCCTGTTTAGTGCCAGGCCCTGAGCTGTATGGGATGTTAAGATGATCCAGCACAGCTCCTGCTTTCAGGGACCTCTCAGTCTATGCCCACTGTTCTCCTAGTGACATGTGGTCTTGCAGGGCCACAGCAAAATGTGTTGGTTCAGATGCCTGGGTCAGAGGAGGGACCTGGAACAATGAGGGGTTAGAATAATCTCAAGGAGTCAAGAAGGGCATTGCATCAGAGGTGAGCTGGGAGGTTGGTGAGGGGTTGGTTTGCACAGTTATCGAGGAAGGGCTCACAGAGGGGAGGGAATAGCGTCAACAAAGGCTCAGAGTGGGGCAAGAACAGGAATGGGTCAGGGAGGTGTCGGTGCTTCACTCTGGCTAGAGGGGCTGGAAGGGTGGGGCCTGACCTGGGGGGCTCAGCAGTTCCCACGTGGACCCTAGAGGCTGGTGGACTGGTTGGGAGCTGGCTGCCTGCATCCAGGCACGAGGGCTGCGGCTTGACCTGAGGAAGAGGGACGGAGAGAGTGATGGAGGTGAGGTGGGAGGGCAGGTGAGCCTGTGAAGATGCAGCTCCCACCGCCTCTTCCCCAGGTACAGCCTTCAGTGCCGCCTGGCTAGTCCTGCCTCCGCCCCCACAGGCCTGTTTGTGTGTGCTGCCACTTCCTCAGCTCCTGGGCTCTCCCACCTCTGGGCTTTGGCACAGGCTGCTCCCTGTCAGGAGCACCCTTCCTACCAGTAGGCCTGGCCCATGAGAAGGGGATTTGCCCACTTTCCAAATAGGAAACAGAGGTCCACGGGGGCCAGGCTTACCCTGGAGTCACTGCCAGGGGCAAGAGGCCTGAGTCTTGTGTTTTTCACCACCAGCTCCCTGCCTGCCTGGACCTCAGGTTTTCTGTCTCTGAAAATGGGCTGACAATGCCTGCCCCCATCAGAGCCACACAGGTAGTAAGAAGAGTTTGGAGAACCATCGAGAGTAAGCATTGGGGACCGCTGCTGGTCCCTAGTATCCCCAGCCTTGCCTCCACAGGAGTGACATTGGGCGTGCATCCCAGTGGACAGGCTGGAGTGTTGGTGTGGTGGCATGCCCAGGATCCTGGGCAGCCAGCTTTTTCCATCCATGCTGGGGTTCCCGTGGCCCGGGGCAGAGGACCTCTTTATCTCTCTCTGCAGCAGCGCTTTTTCTGAAGAGATGAAGCGGGAGAGCGGAGCCACATGCCCAGTCAGGAGCCCTGTGCTTGGGGCTGTTCTGAGAAGACAAAGGCTTCCCATCCCTTTACATGCCCAGGCGTCCAGGCACTGGATCAGAGCCTCTTGGCTATCACAGAGGCCAATGGCAGGTGAGCTCCCCTGGGCCCCTACCAGACTCCCTCTCACCTGGACTCTCTTCTTCTGGGCCCCTCCCTCAGCCCTTCCTGGACACCCACCCCATGCCTCTCCCCTGCTTTAAGTGGACCACCCAACTGCCAAGCCCCATCTGCCTCCCGGCCATGTCCCCTCCTCCCTTTCCTGCCGACTCCCCAGCTACAGCCACACTGACCTCTGGCCTGCTTCCAGCTCTCAGGGCCTGGGCCTCCCCCCATTCCTCGCATCCACACAGCCTGTGCTCTCAGCCCAGCCTACCCGGCTTTGCTTCCCCACCTGCTTCCCCGGGCGGAAGTGACCAGCTCTGCCCACCTTCTCAGCTCCTCTGCAGTAGTCCTCAGTGCTCTGTGGGGCCTGAACCCACAGTCCACACTCCCTTGAGGTTAGCTCCTGCACTTACACACACTCTGGCCTCTCCCCCATCCTACCTCCATGCCCTGTGAGAGCGGGGCAGGGTTACATCTCCCATTTTACAGAGAGGAGCCGGAGCCCGAGAAGCTTACCAGAACTACCCAGCTGTTCAGCAGCAGCCTCATGCCAGGACAGCCTACCGCCCGCAGCCTGCCGTGTCCCTCGCCCCCACGGGGATGCATCTTGAGTGGGTGTGGCCTCCATCTTCCCTGGAGGCCAGGTGCTCTGGACTTGGTTCCCAAGAGCTGGATGCTGGAGTCAAACAGCGAGGCCAGGGCAGCCAGTGTCTATGGTCCTGGTGGTCATGGCAGGCAGAGTGGCCACTGCTTCTAGGTTCTTCCATTTGGAGGGCCGCATCGGCCAACCGTTGCCACAGGCCGTGCTGTAACAAACCACCGAAAACCCTAGGGGCTGAAAACCCACGCTCATTTCTTCCCCGCAGTACGGACTGACAGGTCGACTGGAGTTAGCTGCTGGAGGCTCAGTTGAACTTTGTCACTCCTCTGAGGACTGGATGGGGATCAGGCTGCGTGGCTGGGTGGCTCGGCTCAATGCCACAGCCTGCCATGTTCCTCCTGGGACCAGCGGCTAGCCAGGCTTTTCCTCCTATGCTCACAAACAAAAAGGCTCAGGCTCACAGCAAGCCTAACTAGAATAAACAACTACCCTTCCAATAGAAGCAAACCTATAACCTGCTGGTGAGTGGGACGGCCTGCTAGAATTATTGTGGGCACAGGGTGGGCCGATGGTGGGATCTCCACATGAGCAGTGTGGATTGAAGTAATGTAGCAAAGTCTCATGTTGGGTCTTGGAGTTAGGAACTCTTCCCATCCCCATTTCCACAGAGGAAACAGTTCAGAGAGGCACAGAAGCCTGGCCCAGAGCACACAGTGAGTTAGGGACCTCCCTGTTTCCCTCCTGTGAAGCCAGCGTGAGCCCCTGGGAGATGGAAGGTGCCAGGGCTCAGTGGGGTTGAAGCCAAGGCTGAGACTGGGTTCTGAGCCTGCCCTCGGGAAGGCAAGGCACTGAAGTGAGGGAGAGAAGGTGGAGGAAGGGGGCGAAGCGGGACCACCTGTGGGCTGAGGGGCCTGGGGCTCGGAACCCAGCTCGGGTAGCTCCTGGGCACCCCTGGGCTGCAAGGCCTCTGCTCAATCTGTTTTCCATCAAGCCCCAGTTACAAGACGGGAACAAACGTGCAGACTTCCATGTTGCTGTGTGCAGCCGCTTTGCTGAATCCACTGATTTCCAGAACCTACTTCTGAAGAATATGAGTCAGATTAGATGTGGGGGAGAGAGCAGCAGCCTCTTAGCTCAGACCCCCAGAATGAATTTTGTATATTGTGGGCAATCTCTGCTGCAGGAATGTGTAATCAAGTGCAGAGGTCGTCAGCTGCGGAGGGCGGGAACACAGCCCTTGCTGAAGGTGGGCCCCTGTGGAGTTGTTATCTTGGCAGAGTAGCCTCCTGAAGTGGATTTCTCATTCTCAGACCCTCTTTGCGGATGGTGTTTATGTGAGACAGTCATTGGTTATGGGCACGGAAGTTGGGGCGGGGGAGAGGATCATTTGCTCAGAAAATCAAATCCCTGGAGCCAGGAATCCTTGGCGTCCTTCCACATTAAATTATTCTTCCCCAGGAGGATTTGCATGCATCCTCCCGGTTGTAACCTTCTCTCGGCTCTGTGGTGGTGGTTTTATCTTCATCTCAAACCTTTCATGGAAGAAAAATCTCCGGACAGAACGCCCGGAGATAGCCCTGCAGTCAGGGTGGCTCTTCTGGGAGATGATCTTTTGTTCGGTTCAGTGTCATTGTGAGGAGGAATGCTGACAAACAGAAGCAGATGTCATAATTTTCAGTGTTGACAGCAGCTCCCAAAGCATAAGCTCCATGAGGGGCGGGAGTCTGGTCTGTTTTGGGCACTAGTTGCGTGGCTAGTACATAGTAGATGACAAGTATTTTTTAAATAAGTGAATGAACAAAGTGATTCGAAAGCATTGGTCCCAGGAGGTGCTCTGTGACAAATGGGTTCTGTGAATAAATAACTTGGGGAAACATGTCTAGTCTTGAAGGTTCATGAGACCCACTAACACGTTCAAGGTTCTGATAAGTCCTGCAGTGAAGGACTTCCATATTATTTTATTTAATCCATCAGTTTCTAAAAATGTTTGGCCACAGATATCCCGTTTCCTGTCCATCCTAGATTACAGTTTGGGAGATTCTGACTCACTGAGTATATCAAAGGCGGGACTTTGAGGCAGGAGAAGCACAGTGTGGAATCTAGAACCTCAGGTTCTCAGGGTCTTGTTCTCCCTCCGACATGCTGCCTCTCCATGTAACTGCAAATAATATTCCTATGAAATGTGACAATACTTTCACTAAATGCCCTCATTCATCTTCAAACTAAAGGAGGAAGAACTAGGGACACAGTGATGAGAACACTAAGGTGCGTTATGCGGTTCTGGTCACTCTGGGCTTCCCAGGTCATCTTGGTCTGCTTGACAGCCTCAGAGCTTCACCCCGCATTGGCACCTGCAGCGTGCTGCAGCATTGGCTCCGTGTGATAGCACAGAACCACTCTGTCTCCCAGGCTGGAGTGCGATGGTGCAATCTCGGCTCACTGCAACCTCCGCCTCCTGGGTTCAAGCAATTCTCCTGCCTCAGCCTCCCAAGTAGCTGGGATTATAGGCATGTGCCACCACACCCAGCTAATTTTTGTATTTTTAGTAGAGACAGGGTTTCACCATGTTGGCCAGGCTGGTCTTGAACTCCTGACCTCAGGTGATCTGCCCACTTTGGCCTCAAAGTGCTGGGATTACAGGAATGAGCCACCGTGCCCGTTTCTTCTTGTTGGCTGACTGTAGAGGCCCGGAGCTTGCTGCTGCTGCTGGGCACCCTCCTCATACACTCCTTTCTATCTGGGACCCGCCCTCCATCTTTGTGTCCCCAGTGGAGAAGGACTCTGCTAACCCACTTCAGCTCCTGTGCCTTCATCATCCCTCCCTTCAAATCTTGCTTTGTGGCTTCAATTCTGTGTCCGTCATCACATTGAGCAGCACATAGCAGCAGCCTTGGAGAGGCAGGCAGACAGATGCATCATCCATGGCACAGATGAGGCGGCTGGGGGCCAACTCCAGGATGTGTGGCTGACTTGTCTGAGGTCAGACCTTAGTGGCAGGGGTGGTGGCAGTGCACAGACATCAGCCCAGATCCCAAGAGTCCTTAGGGCCCTCCAGGAGATGGTGGCTGGGCCAGGCTGGCATTCTGGATGAGTCTTGCCTGGCCTTGCTCATCCAACGCTCAGCCAACCTGGCTTCTTGGCCCCTGGCTGGGTTGTCATAGGAACTGCCCTGCTCTGGTGGGACTGCTGTGGCCAAGGAAAGATAGGAGGGGAAGCGGGACCAGGCACGGCTGACCCGTGGGCTGGGATGTCTAGCCCTCTAGTGGATCTACTGGTGGCTAAGGCAGAGGAGGACCTGTTTGAGGTCACGGTGAACCAGGAGTTCGTCCCCTTCCTGCACGCAGGCTGCTGCCCCTGGGCAAACGGCTGGGACCTGCTCTGGTTGTAGATGAGGCCCAAGGGGCTAGAATGGGAAGGGAGGGACCCTGCAGGAGGGCCGGCAGGGTTCCTGGCTCTCTGCATATTCTACAGCAAGGCACAGGGGAACTGTGGTAAGCCTACTTTGCAGATGAGCAAAAGGAGGCCCCAGGTAGGGACCAAACTGAGCAATGAACCCCTGGGGGACACGGCTGATGTCAGGCACCCTCTACCCCCTCTAAAAGGGGCCATCTCTGAGACTGCACCCCAGGCAAAAGCGGTGGCGGAAAGGACAGCCACCTGGGTGGGAACTTTTCCTCCCAGTCTCCAGTCTGCTTCCTGTGGGCATTGGAGTGGACACACCTGGTTTGAGCACTTTCTGTCGTGAGCTCCAGTGAGCCCACTTGGTTCCTCAATTTCTTCACTGTGCTTTGCCTGAGAGCAACTGTTCTCAAAGGGGCTCACCACCCCAGGCCCTTGCTCCTTTCCTGGGTGATTCTCCTGCCTGGCAGGACTCACAGCCGGGCGTCATCACAGAAGCCAGCTATCTAAATCCTACAAGTATCCTCTTAGTGATTATCTTTTCAATAGTGGCCCCTAGATGCATGTATGTTCCTAGTGTGGTATAGCACCTGCTCCAGAGTGAGGACTATGGTGGCTGAGAATAGAGAGCATCGATTGTTTGTGTGTGAGTAAGCTCCCCATCCTTAGGGCACAAGGTGGGCTCATGATGGACATCGTAGACAACAGGAAAGACTTGGCACTTGGGATTGGGAGCCTGGCCTGGGGCTGCTACTTGTGCCCCACATCTGACAGGGCCTTGTCATCATAGCTGCACAACGTCACCCTGGCGCTGGGCTGCTGAAGGATGAGGGCTAACTCCAGCTGTCCGTCAGCCAGAAGGTGAGTGCATGGCAGATGCCTCAGTGTGTCCAGCCTTGGGTGGCCGCCTCATGCAGCTCCCTGGGAGCAGGAGTGCAGAGGCGTTGGGGATGAGCATGCGTCAGAGTCCTCTTGCTTGGGGGTGGAGGCTTGGTGCTTGCCAAGGTTTCCTGGGAGGGTCCTGCAGCCCCAGAGGAGGAGTCTGGCGTGAGACAAATCTCTAGGGCAAACAACTGTCCAAGCAAACGAAAATTGCTGTGTTGGAAAGGCACCAGGAAGGATTCAGGAAGACATTGGGAGGCAGATTGCATGGCTGGACGTAGGTTCGGGCTGGGGCAGCCAGCTGTCCTGGTTTCCAGGATTCTCCTGGTGTTAGTACTGAAATCCTGAATGCCCAGGAAGCCCTCAGTGCAGGGCACACTGGGATGGTCGGTCACTGCCACCCAGGCCTGACCGGCTGCCCTGCCCTCCTTTGGTCCACAGACATCGTGAACAAGGATGCCAAGAGCACACTGCGGGTGCTCTGTGGCCTGTTCTGCAAGCACGCGCAGAAAGCACACACAGGACAGTGCGCCCCGTGGGCCCGAATTGACCCTCCTGCCCCAAGCCCAGAGCCTGCCTGCATCAGCTCGGCTGGAGGGCCCGAGACGCAGGGGGTCCTCCCACAGTCCCGCTGTTTCCTGTGCATTCGTGACCCGCTTCCCTCCCACCCTGTCTCCTGTCTCCATCATCAGGTTATCTCTGAACCCCCTTGTGTAGATCATCTTAGGCTGCCTGGCCTTGCTCAGTTTATTTTAATAAAAGTATTTCTGGGAAGGATTCACCAGGAACTTGCCAGAGCCCTGCGGAGGGCCCTTAAACCCTGTACCTCCCTCCCGTGGGGTGAGTGTGGGTCACATCAGCCTCTGGGCCCAGGCTAGTGACAGCCCAGAGGAGGTGGCATCACTCGGGGCTGGAGGCTGCATGAGGACAGGGCCCACAGCCCCAGACCCTAGCCTTTCCAGCCCAGGTCCCCACACTGGCCTGCTTCTCACTTGGGATGATGGGCCCCAGAGTCACCCTCCAAGGCAGGAGCCCGCATGGTTCCATAGCCGCGCTCCCACCCACCAGGAGAAGTGGATTCAGTGACTGTTAAAGCAGCACAGGCCGGGCTGAGCCCTGCAGCTGCTCTCGTGGGTTTTGCCCAAAGTCACAAAGAAGCGATCTTGTGATTTGCTTGGTAGGTTCAGGTTGTCTCCAGTCTATCCTCGGGAGCTGTGGTTTCCACTCGCTCCAGTGAGACTTGGCGTTTCTGCACATAAGAGTTGCGGTAGAGAATTGCATAGTTGGTCCAGGGCTTCGGAGTGAGGCCAAGGCTGATGGCTGATGGGAGCAGGGGAGGCTGGCGGGGAGGCTGGGGAGGCTGGCTGAGGAGGACTGAGGCTGGCGGGGAGGGGTGAGAGGCTGAGCGGGGAGGGCTGAGGCTGGAGGAGGGTGAGGCTGGTGGGGAGGGGTGGGCTGGTGGGGAGGGTGAGGCTGGTGGGGAGGAGGGCTGGGACTGGAGGAGGGGGTGAGGCTGGTTGGGAGGGGGGTGGGCTGAGTGAGGAGGGTGAGGCTGCCAGGGAGGGTGAGGCTGGCAGGGGGCTCGCTGGGAGGCTGGTGGGGAGGAGCCGGGTTGGTGGGGAGGGGGTGGGATTGGCAGGGAGGGGTGGGCTGGTGGGGAGGGGTGAGGCTGGTGGGGAGGGGTGAGGCTGGTGGGGAGGGGTGGGCTGGTGGGGAGGAGTGAGGCTGGTGGGGAGGGGTGGGCTGGTAGGGAGGGGTGAGGCTGGTGGGGAGGGGTGGGGCTGGTGGGGAGGGGTGAGGCTGCCAGGGAGGGGTGAGGCTGGCAGGGGGGCTGAGGCTGGTGGGGAGGAGTGAGGTTGGTGGGGAGGGGTGGGACTGGCAGGGAGGGGTGAGGCTGGTGGGGAGGAGTGAGGTTGGTGGGGAGGGGTGGGCTGGCAGGGGGGCTGAGGCTGGTGGGGAGGAGTGAGATTGGTGGGGAGGGCTGGGACTGGAGGAGGGGAGAGGTGAGGCTGGTGGGGAGGGGTGAGGCTGCCGGGGAGGGGTGAGGCTGGTGGGGAGGGAGTGAGGTTGGTGGGGAGGGGTGGGACTGGCGGGAGGGTGGGGAGGCTGGTGGGAGGAGTGAGGTTGGTGGGGAGGGTGGGACTACAGCGGGAGGGGTGGGCTGGCGGGGAGGGTGAGGCTGGTGGGGAGGGTGAGGCTGGTGGGGAGGGAGGGGTGGGCTGGTGGGGAGGGGTGAGGCTGGTGGGGAGGAGTGGGCTGGTGGGGAGGGGTGAGGCTGCCAGGGAGGGGTGGGAGGCTGGCAGGGGGCTGAGGCTGGTGGGGAGGAGTGAGGTTGGTGGGGAGGGGTGGGACTGGCAGGGAGAGGGTGAGGCTGCTGGGGAGGAGTGAGGTTGGTGGGGGAGGGGTGGCCTGGCAGGGGGCTGAAGCTGATGGGAGGAGTGAGATTGGTGGGGAGGGGGCTGGGACTGGAGGAGGGGTGAGGCTGGTGGGGAGGTGAGGCTGGTGGGGAAGAGGGGTGGGCTGGTGGGGAGGGGGTGAGGTTGGTTGGGAGGGTGAGGCTGGTGGGGAGGGGTGGGCTGGTGGGAGGGTGAGGCTGGCGGGGAGGGTGGGACTGGCGGGGAGGAGTGAGGCTGGTGGGAGGGTGAGGCTGGTGGGGAGGGGTGGGCTGGTGGGGAGGGGTGAGGCTGCCAGGGGAGGGTGAAGCTGGCAGGGGGCTGGGAGGCTGGTGGGGAGGTGGGGCTGCCAGGGAGGGTGAAGCTGGCAGGGGGGCTGAGGCTGGTGGGGAGGAGTGAGGTTGAGGTGGGGGAGGGTGGGACTGGCAGGGAGGGGTGAGGCTGGTGGGGAGGAGTGAGGTTGGTGGGGAGGGTGGGACTGGCAGGGAGGGTGAGGCTGGTGGGGAGGGTGAGGCTGGTGGGGAGGCAACCCACACTGCCCCAGGCTGCCTGCTCCGATCTTGGAGCCTGAAGAGGCCTTTGGGTCTGGGGTTTTTCACAGTTTGACAGCTGGCCTTGAGGGAGAGAGGGGACTTTAGAGAGGAGTCAAGGGGATGGGTCATCACTGACACCACTGGGGGGCTTTACCTGGGCAGATGTCCTTCGGGAGAGCAAGATGGGAGCCAGGGATGTGGCGCCAGGTCACTGAGAGCTGGTGTCTGGGTGTGAGGAGGCCTTGAGGGGTCTTCCCTTCACCTAGCCTCCCATCTGCCTGCCCCTCTCAGCTCCCAGTTCACAGGGCAACCCAAGCCCATAGCGGGTTCCATGCGGCCTCAGATGCACCCCTTCATGGATACCCCACCCTACCCCAGCTGCCTCTGGGAAGCGTGCATCCTCCCACACCGGGTGCCTGGAGCCCAGCTCCTTCCACCTGCTCCGGGTGCCCCCTCCATTGAGATGCCCCCTCAGCGCCTCAGGTCCTCCTTGAGCTTCTGGGGACACAAGCTCCAGCCTCTCGCTAGCTGGCTTCATCCCGAAAGCCTGAAATCCAGCCCCACTTCTTGGGGTCTTTGCGTTCTCACTTGCTCGGGCCCTACCCGCTGCAGGCTGGCTCTGCCTGGCTGTTCTACGTCCTCCACTCTTGTTCCTGTTGACAGCAATTAAAAAAAAAAAAGAAGTAACCTTTAATTTCTGTACTTTGTTGAATAACTTCCCCGTTTAGTGTGCAGTTCCAGTGAGTTTTCACAAATGCATGCAGTCAACCGCCACCATCGTTATCCAGACGTGGGACATTTCCCATCACCCGCGCAAGTTTCTGCCTGTCTGCAGCCAGTCCCCTTCTCCCAGCCCCCTGGCCTGAGGACCACTCATCTATTTTTCTGTCACCATCATTTAGCCTTGTCTAGAATTTCTTATAAACTGTATCCTATGGTGGCTGTTTGCTTTTTGTGTCTGATTTCTTTCACTTAGCATAATGCTATTAAAAGAGAGGATCTCCATTGTTTCTTTTATCAACTTTACCCATGTCCCTAGTACAGCACATTATGTGGGTACACAGCAATTTGTGTATGCATTTGCCAGTTGATGGCCCTTTGGGGTTCTTTTGGGGTTTTAGTTTTTATGAGTGGCATTGGTATTCATGTTTAAGTCTCGCGTGGGACCTATGTTTTCATTTTTCGAGTAAGTACCTAAGACTGATGTGGCTTCAAGGTCATATTAGTGTATATTTTACTGTATAAAGAAACTGCCAACTAGGCTGGTGGGAATTGGTGCATGTCTCATAATCCCAGCACTTTGGGAGGCTGAGGTGGGCAGATCACCTAAGGTCAGGAACCCAAGACCACGCCTGGCCAACATGGTGAAACACCATCTCTACTAAAAATACAAAAATTAGCCAGTGTACACCTGTAATCCCAGCTACTTGGGAGGCTGAGGCAGATAAAAACTCTTGAACCTGTGAGGTAAAGTTGCAATGAGCTGAGATAGCAGCACTGCACTTAAGCCTGGGCAACAGAGCAAGACTTTGCTTCAAAAAAAAAAAAACAAAAGACTGCCAACTGTTTTCCAAAGTAAATGTGCCATTCACATTTCCACCAGCAATGTAGAGTTCTGGTTGCTCCACATCCTCGCCAACACTTGGTACTGTCCATCATTTCCATTTTTGTAAAATTTCTGGAGAAATTTATTAGTATACATTGTAGTTTTAAATTTATTTCCCTAATGATTAATAGTACACAGTATGTGTGTTAGTCAACTTGGGCTGAAGAATACCATAGAGATGTATTCCTCACAGTTCTGAAGGCTGGTAAGTTCAAGATCAAGGTGCTGTGATTTGGCTCCTGGTGAGGCTCTCTTCCTGGCACACAGATGACTTCCTTCTCCTCCGTCCTTACAAGGTCAAGGAAGAGAGAGAGCGAGAAGGGGAGAGAGAGAGAGGAGAAGAACAAGAGCATCAGAGTGCTCTGGTAACCTTCCTCTTGTAAGAAAGTGAATCCCATCACTTGAGGGCTCCATCCTCGTGATCTGATCTGACCCTAATCACTTCCC